ACTATAAAACAATTCATAAGTTGATAAAGAAATGAAATCGTATAGTTATAGACTCAAACCACCGACCAATCACACTCCTTCATGGTTTACTGTACTCCTACAAAAATACTTGCTTTATGCTTAAACTGCATAAAATAAACTAACTACTCTATGGTTATGCATTAATCACATGAAAAAAACAACAAATTTACCTACCTTTACCATTCAGCATAGTCACTACCCACATCCTACAACAGTATACAACTAATATTCAATAATTTATGCAAAACAAAGTCAGTTGAATGCAACCAAAATATCAATAAATCTAGAAAACAACAACAATTAGTGATTAAACGAATAAAACAAAAATCATAATGAGGAAAACAATTCTGAACTAAGTAGCACTTATTACTTTCTATAAATTCTTTGCATAAGAACAACTCACCAGCAACAAAAAAATATGAAATATCATGAATATTAGTACATATGCAACATCCGATTGATATCACTATCATTTACAAAGGATACTTGATCGTAGATAAGAACAATCCATAAAAGACTGAAAGCTTTTTTTCTCTCGAACGACCAATTTTTGAACATTTCACGTATCTCTGAAAATGAATAATAATTAGTTTCAAAGATACTTCTGTTGATCAATTTTTATTTCATAATTTATTGTACTCCTTCTTTTCAGTTAGCACTTTAAATTGAAGGCACGATTCCCGATTAATAATTATTAAACCATTATCAAACATTACATTGGTAAAAATCATAGAAAATGTTTTTCTAGATCAAGTATGAAACCAAAAATACGAACAAAAATGCTTTCGCTTTTTTCAGAGCTTCCCGAATGGAGGGAGGGTAATCTGCAATATTTAATGAATTGACAAGACAGTACGAAACATATTTGAGTGGAACCCATTGCCTGCAAATAAAGGTTATTAAAAAGTTTGAAATTATTAAGCTTTTCAAGTGTTTAAGATTACATAAAAAATTGTTTTGCAAAACACTCTTCTACAGATATAATGTAATAAATGCAATCTTTTCCACAACAAACTTTTCCTCACATATGCAATCTTCTTTGGTTATAAAAACAAAACCACTTACCAGGTATTACGGCCATCAAAATAGACGACTAAAACATACTGGCTATAATCTTGTGGTTTCATCCTAAACATATCATCTACTGGGAGATCTCCCAACAATACCTGGAACGGACAGATTTATATCACTCCGGAACAATCAGTTATATATTTCTATGGATGTACCAGCTTTTAATGAGAATGAAATTGATAAAAACTTGCTTTTAAACGCAGGTCAATAACTCGGCCAACTTTACGTTCATTGTTTTTGATTATCCAAACAATATCATCGTGCTGGAAGTCACAAGATACTTCTACCGTTTCTACAACATTATATTCTGATTTATAGGAAAAAAATTTTAAAGAAAGTTAAGCTGAAATTTATTTATAATCTAAAATTGATAAGGTGTTCCAATAATACTTATATATATAGGTTTTGGAAATGATATATTGAAGATAAATTATGGCTGCTAAGAATGAAATGCATATTAAATTACTTTAAGAAGAAAGAACGAATTTCGTTAATTTTAAAATATAATTGAACTGCTGAATTAAGCAAAGATTTCAACGCAGTAAATAGACACCAACAAAACCCGATTTGACTTATTTAATAGAGCACATTAATAACAGCAGCTGAAGGAATTCCATTAAATTTATTACCAACACGTTCCACAATGGGCAGTCTTCGAGACCTTCGAGTACTCCGTCGTCCACGTCGATGAATCATTTCATCTTCTGCAGAACTTGATTCCTCCATTGTGGAAGTATCCGTCGTTAAAAACTTCGAACTTTCCAACGTATTAGTTCTATACATCATGAATGATCCTTCTAAGAAGAAAAAAAAATAAGAATTACTGTTTGAATCAAATAATTCTTTTCATAACAAGCTAATACAGTAAATATGAGAAATTCTAGCTATCAAAAAAATGCTGAAGTTAGAGCACAAAAATAAAGAACTAAGATTCTTCAGAATGATATATAAGTATCTCACATGATAAGAATTAATTTGCTTAATTATACTTGAATCATATTTGGGACGCTTTGCAGATATTTTCAAATCAGAAGTTTCCAAAGAGCGCTTTCTCGTTGATTTAATCGGTATAATAGCTTCTTCTATCGCATCCTGACTTATAGATACACTCGCATCTCTATCATCAATCTCATTATACTCTTCATCACGCTTCGAATCATTTACAGAAGTATATGATATTTTCACCGTTGTCAACAATTCACTTGTCTGCAAAGCTTCCGAAGAAAATCTAATATTTGCATTATTTTGGAATCATTGCTGGTCCTTCAATATTTACTTATATTTTTTCATTCACATACTTCGCCAGCACTTTTCTATATAATAGAAATAATTTAATTTTGGAACAAAGAAAAGGAAAAAGCATCTGCTTTCATTTTCGACCAAACAATAAGCTAGATCTTATTAAAAAATTTTCCTTTCCTGACTCGACTAATTTCATGTTTATTTTCCAATTACTTTTTCCTCTTCTGACTTCATAATTCACCTATAACGTCATGCTCAAAATTTAAAAATAAAAAAATTACTTGACAACTACAATACAAACCACCAGTAATCATACCATAGCAAGAGCTCGCACTTCTTTGTCTGCAATTTTGAAATATTTCAAACCGATGCGATGCAATCGATGACCATACTTCCAAAAGTACTCGTTGTGGCGATTGAACGTTGAGCAATTATTCATCATTAATATAAAATCAGCTTTAAGCTGTGATATGTTTTTGTAATCACCTTTAGCCAATTTCCTATTAAAATATATCGTTTAAATTTTGACTACACAACAATAACCTTAATGGCATTCAGAACAAAGCTTCTGTAAATAAAAAATAACTTCTTCATAGTAGAGAGATCCATTGGCTTTTTGATAACCGAAGAATAACCAGGCACATCTTTCTCCGACACCGGCTTCGCAAATACCTAAATAACATCAATCGAACAAAAAAGAAAAGGGTTTGTTTATTAACTCTTAATACCATTATTTTTTAGATTATTTACTTTTAAATGCCTCAAAAATTGTCTGATTTTACAAACTTAATTCGCAACCATATATTTGATAGCATCTCCTTTCTCCGATATGTTTTTCAAACCTTGGCAAATTAAATTCATTTAGTTAAATAAAATATTTCCTCAAATAATCTTTTAATTATGATGATCAAAAAGTACAGAATTGTAATCTTTGCTGGCGATTTTATCGATCAAATCGCTCATTATTGTATTTAGCGGCTTTGTTAATCGATTCAATAAGTCTGCTGTCATATCATACTGTAATAAACATGAAATAACAAGAAAATATCCTTACTTGAATTAATGGAGTTCAGTCATTTTAACCATTACAAAAAAGCAAACTATTGATTTTGATGAAGAAATTAATCAATTGATAGAATCCCTTATTTGTTTGAATGTAAAAAGCTTACAAACTCTTTTTTCAATTTTTCCCGTTTCTTCACAAGTTCACAGAGCAGACGAACACGTTCAAGATTTGTTCGAAGTAAAAAGTACATCTTAGTCTCGTCCATATGTGCATTCTGATTTGATGACGAAGTGTCTGACGTTTTTGGAAGTGATTTGCTGTGCTGAAAAATACCAAGAATATACTTCTTTGAGATTACCAACTCAAGAAGTGACTTAAAATCTTACACTTGGCAATCATTTTTTAAAATGTACCCCTAATTTCCCACTGACAACTTGGAGTTTTTGACTAGCGAGAATGACAAAATAATCAACAAATCTTATACAAATGCGACAAAAATTCTTGGCTCTGTTGAAATATTAATAAGTAATGACATTAGAAAAATTATAGTCCGAAAAATTGTTTACGATTAGTCTTCGTAAAAGAGGCACGCCAAAACGGGATTTCCTTTTCAGAGACCAGTAGGCAACAATATAACGAACAACAGCTTCAGAAATATCTGCTTTCTCGCAAATTTTTTTCAGGCTTGAAATTAATGGAGTTACAAAGTAATGGAACGGCAAAAACAGCCCTTACTTGATGCAGTAGGAGAATGTTATATAATATCAATGCAAATGTAAACAAACATTTCTTAGAACTTATAACTTTTTTGGGAACACAATGTAATAAACTTAATTGCAAGACGCAAATATTCTTGCTTGTTGGGAGATAAATTTGCGGAACTTCATTTCTTTTAACTATTTTGTTAACAGCAGCAGGTATTATAATAATAATTATTACTAATTATTATAATCTTTTATTATTATTACTATTTACCATCTTTATCGTCAATATTATTCTTATTTATTCCTGAATTTAATTGCATGTCGCCGCAAATTATTAAGAATAAAAACCTTGATGAAGGGACAGTTGGAATAGAAACCGGTGGGATCACCGCTTGACTAGCTGCCAGTTTTTCACGCGCTTCTTTCATCATTTCTTCCTAAATCCATTATTGGAACTAAGATTGAAAATTAAAAATACAACAAAAATTTCAAACTTATCTCCCCCAGAACGCCCCAATCTGATATCTAAAATGAAGTGAATAACTCAAAACATACCACTTTTTTCTTTTGCTTGGAAAAATCACTTCCATCCCCTCTGAAATACATATAACAATTACTTGAATTACATCATGATTATGTTTATAACCATTGTTTACAATCATTAAACAGTACTAACTACTCCCTATCATAACAAATCAAGCATTTTTCAAGCCAACGCACCGAATATCTACTTTGAAAGTGATAAATCTTCAAACTTACAACTTTAACTAGATAGTTCGAAACAAAATTAATTACTTTTTTTATGACATACTTTGCAACATTTGTGGAATGAAAATGGCAGTAAGCTATATATCGGATATCAGCACTATTATCACGTTTTTTAGTGTCAATTAATTCAGCCCGCATTTCCATACCAGCGGCATTTGCACATGTTACGTGGAAAGACCGCGTGCAACTTTTCTAAATAAATTATCGTTTTCACAAACTGCAAAAATGGGGATAAACATACATCAGTGAAAATATCCAGTACATTACTCTAATATATGTCTCAGTAATTACATATTTCTTCAAACAAATATTTTACTACTGCTAGTATTTTACTCTAAACCAAAGATCGTAAGCAAAACTGATTGTTTCGCATCTGTAAAAAAATATTAAAACCGATATTTCCCAAGTCCTTTATACTAGCAAGCTATAGATGACTGGATTAAAAAATAAGGGATGAAAACCTTGAAAACGAAAGCTAAACCGTGCCCCTGTGCAAATCATATTTTTGTGTGAAAGATTTAAAGAATAAAAATTTACTTTAGAACACTGCAGACAAGCTCCCACTTTCTGTTTACATACAATACATCTTAACCGTTGTCTTCGCTTTATCGAATTTTCAACTCCATCAATTGGTTCCATGAAGACATTATTAGCAAAATGAACCTTAAAGTTTTTGAACTAGTACGACAGAAACAAATGCAACGAATGAACGAACAAAAAGACATGAATTTAGGCTTAGGTTATTCAAAAAGCAGAGTATAAATTTTTCATTCTTACAACATATAAAATATGGAATACACGAACTGCAGGAAAAATCAACAAACTGCGAGAATTAACAATTGCAAGTGGACATTATAAATATATAACGGATTTCAAGTAAGCAACCTCATTAAGCCATAGAGCACAAACGACATGAGCCCAGCGATTGTCAATAGTCTGCTTAAAAGCACCGTGAGAACTTGGACAAAGAACACAAGACACCGGCTTTGATGGCGACATTTGACAACGGCGACAAAGCCACTGACCTTCCGGAACATATGGGACACCATAGCAGTCCTAACAATTAGAGTTAAAATGAGTAAAGAAATAATAAATAACTCCTAAAATTTCCTTAGTGGTGTAACCTTTTAAGATTTGAGGAAACTATCTAGAAATTACAATAGTTTAATGATAAAGTAGAAAGAACTGACTAAGAACAAAATTGTAAACGTGATTTAAAAAACTTACTGGAGCTATTCTTCTGTTAGTATTGAAGTAAGATTATAGAGATTACCTGATGTACAGCTATATTGCACATATCACAGAAAATTATTTGATTTATATTGCTGCCTTCGCCATCATTACAGACGCAGCAGAGAGCATCCTGATCAACTAAGCACTTATAATTGTTATCACCTTTTGAACACTGAAACTTCTGTTTACAGCACATAAATTTAGAAATGAAGAAAAGAGAACTCCATTTATTAAAGTTTTAATGAATGGAATTTGCAAAAGAAAACTGAGGAAGCACAAAAATGTAGGATTTGAACAAAATGAGAAAAGTGAATAAGATGAATTAAATTGAAATGTTAGGAATTTAATTTGACAATGCATTGAAGCTCTCGAGCATGGAGCCAAAAATGAATTTTAAATCATTTTTTTAATTATAAGCATGAAAAAATTATAACAGAGAGAATGTTATGTTGCTCATTTAATTCATACAATTTATAACTATAATCTTACTTGGAAGAAGCTTTCTTTTTCTAAACGATCCATGGCAATTTCAAAATTGCGAATGGAAAGAGGCTTCTCACCCAATTTTTCCAGTTTTTTAGAAATGATACTCAACCATTCCATATCCTAAATCCTGTTTATTGCTTAACAAATCATAAAAAATGCTCAAGCTCAATAGATTGTAAAAATAATATTACTTGAAATTTATAAAGTTATTAGTTGAATTTTTTTATAGTTGCGAGAATCTCAAGCTAATTCAATTTTTGAGTACTTTAAAATATTGCATATATTATATTAAATCAAATTTAGCCAATAACAACATATTATGAATTTTTTTTGATAAAAAAAACCTCTTCATCAACATCGTATTCTAGTATGCTGTCCATTTCTTCATTTAGTCTGACTTGGTATGTCATGTAATCTTCTGGTATGTCAAATTTCTGAGAGAGTAAGAACTGCTGAGACAATTTTCGAACTTTTACTTTTGGCAGTGCAGCAGATATTTCACTCGCCTAAAACAGTGTACGAAAACTAATTTTTAACAATAGCTATACACAGCTGACTTGATAAGTTAATTTTAAGAATCAAAGATGAAAAACTCTTTACAGTAATTACAACAGTAATTTTTTGATTTCTTGAATCGATATGTCTCAATAATCAACATAGATTTACTTAAAAATACAAACTGAACATCGAAAAGTGTATATGTTATTCAGCTGAATAAAGAATGATTGGTGCATAAACACAAATGAAATAGACAGAATAAAGCGGCATAATGAAAATAACATGTTTCAAGATTATCCAATAGACAAATGAAGTTCTAGTTCTTATTTAACTTTATTTCCAAAATTCATGCTTTTTTCCATTTCCTTATTAAATCTAAATATATTTCCAAACTTTCAGATATTTTGTTTTGAACATAAAATAACGCAAATTTTAATATTAATTCTTTGTACCTCTTTATTAATCTGCTTTTCCAAACGTACCTCACGATATTTTGCAAGAACGACATTACTTTTCCTATCAGGAGGTAACTGATCATCAGTAACAAAGTTCATAGGCAGCGGTTGCATTACGTTTATACGCACTACACGTCCATCAATACACGTACTTACAACACGGTCCAACATCTGAAACAAGCTGATATTGCATTAGGGTTCACGAAGAGAAAACATTCAGTGTAAAGATTAAATATGCTTATTTAAAACGATGACAGAATAAAATCTTCTGTGTTCTTGACCCTACATAGTTCCTGAATATTTTATTACACTCTGACTGCAAATCGAGTTAACTCAGTTTCAATTTTAGATGCGAATACAAATAAATTATACCTCACAGTAAATCTGGCATTACAGAAAATATCTATCTCTATGCACACAAATATAGTATAAAGAGCTTGCCTTATTTTAGAGCAACAGATTAGGACAACTTCTATCCTTCCAAAAAAGTTAAAGCATTTTGGAAAAATAAATTTTGGCAAAATTATTAAAATTGAGCTTTCAATCAACTTGGACAAAGTATCAGCGCAGAACTTAATCTATAAAGTATTAATACATCTGAAAAAATCTATTTTAATTAAAATACTTAAAATGACAAAAATATCATTCCTTAGAAGAACTAGTGCAAAAATGAAGCACCGAATTATTACCATGATCACAATTGAACATGTAGCAAAATATAACGCTGGGCCGTATACCGCAATTTATTTTGTTAAATAGGAATTATTCATGTGCTAATTGCCACTGCCTGTTTATCCATTCAAGGTCAAAAGTCATGGGGTGTGTTTCAAAAATTCGGTGCATTATGTGTTTTGTCAGTATTTTTTGAAAATTCAATCATACTTCAGTTTTAATTTATGCCAAGTTTTTGTGATTGGTGCATGTTACTTTAAACATATCCAATTTTACTTCCTAATAAATTTTTCCATTTAATTGCATTTGTAACTGTTATGTATTGACTTATTTTTTATTTTTATGATTAAACTGTTTTCACTGCTTTGCATATGGACGCCAATTTTGCCCTACAAATA